ATATTACTCTCCTTCCAGGCCAGAGTATGGACCTTATATAATATAATCAAGTTATATATATATATTCATCTTCAATTCACATAAACAGCTTCAATACGTCCATTAAACATATCCAAGTATAAACTTCCAGTGAGTACACTCACCTTGGCTACTTCCCAAATTATTTACTTATCCCTTGGTAATGTCAAAGCTTCCGTTTCTTTCTCTTTACCTGAATAAAATTGAAATCACATCATACCCATTTCTAAAGAGAATTAAATCACAATTATCACTTATATAATAAATCTCAACCTTTCTATACAATTATAATTAAAATTGTAATCACCACTCTTTATATGCAATCTCGACTTCACAATTCCATCTAACTAACCATTAATAACTTCGTACTTTGAATCAAGTGATATATGTAAAGAACTATATGCAGTTTATATAATCCGTACAAACAGATTATTCATGAATAATTTAAATAATTAAACATCCACTATATAAATGAAAATATAAATTTTTTACCTGTACTTGAATTCAATAGAGATTGCAGAGAGAAAACTTTTTCCGTTTCCTAATATTATTATTATTTTTTCCCCTGACCATCCCTATTTAACTTGCTGCTCTCAGTTTGTTCTTTTGTGTTTTTCAAAACAGTACCTCAAAGTGAGCCTTTCACTTAAACTGGTGTGTCGTCAATCCTAACCAAAGTTTGTGTACTAGAAGATAATGGTGTAGAGTTATGATGAATGTGGCCAAGTTTTATATTTAGAAATTGCCACTACTACCTTTCACTAAAAATATAGCTAGGGCAAGTAGGGATCGTCCCAAAGGATTGGTGGGTCGTACTAGGTTAAGGAATCAAGATTAGGGTTAGTAGGTCGAGTGATCAAAAGATTGGTTGATGGTTGAATTACACTAAGATGCAATTTAAACTAAAGTAGGCAATTAAATGTAAATAAGAGAAAATAAGATAGAGATCTTGGGATTTAGAGATCACCACTAAGCATAACTTTTCTACACCCTTAATGAATGATTAATGAGGGGGAAAACATGTATTGCAACAAAGTGTGTGTGTGTGGTTATTTCAACAAGCATGGATGACAAATTAAGCATATATTGTCTAAGCAACATGGTGGATAGCACAATATATCAAACTAAGCCATTAATCCTTTCTTAAAGCTCACAATCTAAACACAACACAAGGTTAGAGATATATGTTACTTACTTTCATAAGTATGGAACATCAAACAACAAGCATGGATTGTCCTCCCATTTAACATCTAAACTACAACTACATTAAAATTAAGCTAATGACATGAAATTAAACTAATTAAACTAAGGAAGAGGTACATTCCATCAAGAAATGAGTATGAACCATTAAATAAACTACAAGAACATTTCATTAAGCACTATGTCTTGACAATCTCAAGATCTATAGTATTAATACACATAGACATGCATTAATAACACAAGAAATAGAGACAAACACATGAACATCTATTCTAGCATACATAGACATATGGATAGAATCAAATGATCAATTGGAAGCATTAAACCACATAAATCATTGAATAAACAAGATCTATATATATATAAGTGTCAAAACATGTATCACAATACAAATCCCCTAAAAAATATATAAATCAAGATGTAGAAAGCATACTTAGGGCTAACTCTAGCCCCAAGAGGATGTCTAGCCACTCATGGATGGTGTCCTCCAACCCTCAAGGGCTAACTCCATGGTAGAGATTGCTCCTCTTCTTGGTTGATGGAAGAACTCCAAGCTTGTATCTCTAGCCTCCTCCTTTCTTTTCTTCTTAACTAAGATATGAAAATTATGCTTCTCAAGTATATCAAATGTCTCTAGTTTCTTCTTTCAAAAAGTGGCTCATATTCCTTATATAGATAGGTCAAATATCACCCCAAATGAACTGGGCTCGTACACCAATATTCCTCCAATGATTGGATATGAGACAACTTTTAATGAGCTGGAATTTGGATTTTCTCGGGATTTGAGAAGTTCGATCGATCGAACATGGTTGAGATCTATCGAATTGAAGCTAGATTGATCCTCTATGGCGGCTTCTTTTTAGATAAAAATAAATCTGAGATATTTTGAAGATATTTTTGAGAAAAGGACAAAAGTGGTTGGTAGGATGGTACAACTGGATAAGATCTAGTATGTGGATAAGGACAAGAAAGTTCGATCGATCAGAGAATCAAGTTGGATCGATCGAACTTTTAGATCTTTGAATAGGGACAAACATGCCTCAGATCCATCTTGAAGTGCTGAGATCGATGAAAGTTCGATCGATCGAACTTTTCTTGAGATCGATCGAAGTTGCTGAAATTCCACCATTTGCTTCCTTTTGCTCTACTTTGCTCCTTTCTTTGATTCATCCCAGAGTTGCTTCATTTTTGCTCTTATTTGGCTGAGTTAGCTTATTTTAGGGATAAGTACCTAAAAATGGAAATAACATGAAATCAATACAAAGCGGGAAAATAAGATAGATAAAGGTTCTAGAATACCTAAGCTTAAGGGGTTTAAATGCGCACTTTTCAGCGCTCATCATATACCTACGAATTCTATAAGGCGATTCCAAAGCTTCCAGTAAAAAAATTTAAAATTAATAATTATACACCATATATTATTTTAACACTAGCACATATCTATTACACCCCAACTTACCTTCAACTGCACACACTACACCAACACATGTTCCATGACTCATCAGATATATATATATATATATATATATATATATATACACATACATATATCTTTTATTTTTAAAAAACAAACTTTGAAAGACAAAAAGGCTCTACCACACTTCATTCTTATCAATCATATATATATATATATACACAAATACAACTTTAACACTAACACATCACCAGCCTATATTCCACAACAACACTACATCACCACGTGTCCAATAGTCATCATAATTTCCTTCCACTGGTTTCCTTACTAGGTGATTCTACTAGCTTCCAAAGGAAACTTACCCAATTCTTTATACCCACAAATCTATATGCATAAATAAGTGTACAGTGTATGTGGGTGAACTAATAGCTTGACCATATTCTATATTTAGTGAGACAAAATATAAAGCTTCATGGTAATCACACATAGCCAAAACTTTTAGTAAGCTTTAATTGACAACACATCTATAAATAATATCACAATTATGTATAACCCAATCTAGGTGTTATATAAAATATCCACATATAATTCATGTTTAGTAAAAAATTTAATTATGCTAATGAAAATGATTATGTATTGGGGCCTTACAATTCTTTCCCCCTTAATTAATTTCGTCCTCAAAATTAAAATGTATGAAACATACCGAATAAGTGAGGATATTGCCTTCTCATAGTTTCCTCACTTTCCGAAGTCACTTCTTCAACCGTGTGACTCCTCCATAATACTTTTACCAGTGGTATAGTCTTATTTCGAAGTACTTGTTCTCGGCGATCCAAAATCTGTACAGGTTCCTCTACATACGTTAAATCCTCCTTCAACTCTATCGATTCTATAACTAAAATATGAGATGGATCCGATGCCTCTGTCTCAAATTTAAGTCCTTCTGTGTAGACAAATACTTTAAACTCTGATGATCAGTGAATATTTCACAAATTTCACCATACAGATAACGCCTTCACAATTTCAAAGCAAAAACAATAGCAGCTAACTCCAAGTCATGTGTAGGATAATTCAATTCATGATTCTTTAATTGTCTAGAAGCATATGCAATTACCTTTCCATTCTACATCAAAACATATCCTAGACATTGATATGAAGCATCAGTGTAAATTACAAAACCTTCACCACCACACGGAATAGTTAACACTGGAGCTGATGTTAACTTTTTCTTTAATTCTTCAAAACTTCTTTGGCATTCCTCACTCCACATAAACTTTACTTTCTTTCGGGTCAACTTTGTTAATGGCATGCAATACTAGAAAACCCTTAGATGAACCTCCTAATCCCAGAAAACTTCTGACTTCTATCACATTAGTAGGCCTTTCCCATTTCACCACAGCTTCCACTTTTGACGGGTCAATATAAATACCATCCCCAGATACCACATACCCCAAAAATACAACTTTATCAAGCCAAAACTCACATTTGTTGAACTTAGCAAAAAGTTGTTTTCCCGTAGAATCTGTAGCACAATTCTTAAATGCTTCTCATGTTCATCCACACTCCGAGAATATATCAAAATATCATTGATGAAGACAATAATAAACGAGTCAACATACGGATGAAATACTCGATTCATTAAATCCATAAACACCACTAGAGCATTGGTTAACCCAAAAGGCATTACCAAAAACTCATAATGACCGTATCGAGTCCGAAAAACAGTTTTAGAAATATCAGTATCCTTTACCTTCAATTGGTGATATCCTGACCTCAAATCAATTTTAGAAAACACATTTGCCCCTTGCAACTGATCAAACAGATCACTAATTCGTGGCAATGGATACTCGTTTCTGATGGTTACTTTATTTAACTGTCTGTAGTCAATACACAACCGCATATTACCATCCTTCTTCTTAACAAATAACACCGGTGCACCCCACGGTGAAATACTAAGTCGAATGAAGCCCTTATCCAGTAAATCTTGTAACTGTATCTTCAACTCTTTCAATTATATCGGTGCCATTTGATACGGAACAATAGAAATTAGAGTTGTTCCCGATACTAACTCAATGGTAAAATCTATCTCTCTGTCCACTGGCAACCCCAGTAATTCTTCCGGAAACACATCTGTGAATTCCCTTACCACTAGTGCATTTTTAAGTGTCACACCTTTATTTTCAATATCAACCATATAAGCCAAGTAACCCTAACACCTTTTCTTCAACAACTTTCTGGTTTGTATAGCTGAGATAAGGCAGTTTGGAATAACATTTCTTTCTCCGGTAAATCTGAATTCTGGCTCCCCTGGTATCTGAAATACAACTTCTTTCCAGAAACAATCTATTGAAGCATGATGCGCAGACAGCTAATTCATACCCAAAATGACATCAAAATCTGGTATACCCAACGGTATCAAATTCACCTTTAACTGTTTATCTCCCAATTGTAAAACACAATCCCGATATTCATTTGTAACCACTACCACTTCCCCCATTGGGGTAGAAATAAACAATTTACTATCTAATGATGAAAGTGGTTTACCCAAATGCATAGCAATAGATGATGCAACAAATGAATGGGTTGAGTCAGGATCAATAAGCACAGTAACATTTCTATCTAAAATAGAAAGTGTACCTGTCACCACTTTTGGTGTTGCTTGAGCATCCTGAAGTGTCATAGCAAACACTCTTCCCTGGGCTTGCGAACCACTTGTAGCAACCCTACCTCCTCTTAACGAGCTCCCCTTTGCAAATCCTCTACCAAAACCAGCAACACTACCCACTGAGGTCACTCCTTCAGCTGATGGCAATGATAGCACTCTTTTGCTTTTAACACAGGACAATCTTTCTTCTGGTGGCCTTCCCTTCCGCACTGAAAACACCCCCTGCCAGTACCACGTCCTCTAAAGCTACCTTGTTGTATAGATTGTTGTTCAGAAAACCCTTGACCTCTTCCAATACCTAACGTCTACCCTTGAGATTCACTACCCTTTCCCCTTCCATACCGTTACTTTTGACCTCCCTGACTTGAAATTCCTTCACCTCCTCTTGATTGTAATGACTCAGATCTATTTCTTTTGAATTGTTCCTTCTTTCTTGCACAAGTCTATTATAATTTGTTTCCTCAAAAACTGAAACTCTGGACTTAATAGCCACCTCTAAACCATCCTGGAATTTTGTACATTTATCTTCTTCGTTCTGTACGAACTTAGGTGCAAACCTCGATAAAGCTGTAAACTTAACTTCATAATCAGTTACAGACATTCTATCTTATTTTAAGAGAATAAACTCCTGTTCCTTCTCTTTTCTATAAATTGGAGGGAAATACCTCTTATAAAAATATTTAACAAATCAATTCCAGAATATCACATTTTTTTCTCCTAGAGTAAGTAATAAATGTTTTGTTGTGTCCTACCAATAACTAGTTTCATTTTTGAACATAAATGTAGCTAACTTCACTTTCTGGTCTTCCGTTGCACCCATCATTGCAAATATTGATTCCATTTTACTTACCCACTTTTCTACTTGTTCTGGTTTGGTAGTACCTGAAAATTCTGGGAGTGTTAACTTTATAAACCTTTCATAATCCGAGCTTTTATTTCCTTTCTATTGCCTCTCCAGCCATTCTTGCATTATGATTTGATTTGCCATAAATTATTTATTTTGTTATGCCAAATCTGTTATTGTAACGACCCGAATCCGTGGATCCGGACTGTTACCCGGGTCTTTACCCAAACCCGAGGTTAACTAAGTCATACACTCTATTTCCTATGTTCAAACCTGTCATAAGACTCATTCCGGAGCTCAGAATACCCAGGGATACAAACTTACAATGCTGGTCAGCATTACAGGTCAAAAGGGATAGTCAGCCGGCTGATAGGCCTTCGTCGGCCGGTTGCCAAGGCATGATTGGTCGACCAACATGGCAGGATTGGTCGGCCAAAACGATCCCAAAAACTGAAGGCTCTCGGGACTTTCACTGTGCAAGCCATCTGTCAACTAGAGAATGGGGTTCGGTCGGCCGAACCTGGGGTTTCGGTCGGCTGATGGTGAGGGTCAGCCGGCTGAAACATGCTTTCCTGGGATTACTCTCACTGAATGTGCATACTGACTATGTATCAACCTATTAAGGACTGAAATTTCGCGGCACATACTCATCATTATACAAGAATAGGTGTCACTATATTTGCCAACAACACATCATCTTTCTCCCATTCAACACGAGCAATTACATAATTTTCATTTGCATCAAAATATAATCAAGTGTCTTAATTATATTACATGGCCATGATTTACAAAATAAATAAACTTTTCTAGAACAGGGGCTTTACAAAGGAATGGAAATTAAACAAAAGGGTACAAAATAAACTCCTAGTCATTCTCATGCTTATGGAAGGTCGGCATCCACTACTTCTTTTTTGGGTCCTGAAAAAAAATATTAAATAATAGGGTGAGCGTAAAGCTCAGTAGGTAGTGCCTAAAACACATCTCTTGTGGCCCCGTGAATCCAAATAGTGAATAGATCAATAGAAACGGGGTCATACATAGTAGGGTAAAAATACCATATCAATCCCGAATTCCGAATAATTAAATGTCATGCCGTCAATGTAATGTTATGCATGTCACTCCCCATTTTCAGGAAAATTCATCAATTCATAAACTATTAATATAACCCGCCCTTTGGTGACTCTGCAGCGACACGAGAGAAGGATTGGCTACTGTCCCTGACCTTTGGTACCCCCGCAGTGTCATTTTGGGCCTAGATAGCTCAACCACGCTAGGGTAATCTCCCTGGTTCCCTCTAGGCTATATTAACACACTGGCCCTTTGGTGACTCCGCAGCGACCGGGTTTTTCTCAAAACACCTTATCAAAATTTCTCCCCAAAATCCCCTTTCACTTTTATTTCATGCCCAATGCTATGAAATGCATGTCATGTACTTCACCAATAATATCAGCGTAAAAGAAATTTACACTACACAATTTAACATGTTCCTTCATAGCATCTTCTAGAAAATTAATAAACACCGTAGGCATGTAAATTTACATTTAAACATGCTTTTCACATAATTGCACCAACACACACAGGTATAGATTTCCAAATACAACAAATATATCATTCTCAAGACAATTAACTTAAAATTAAGCATACTTTGCAACAATTAAAGAGAGATGACTCACAAAAGAACAAGAAAAGTGTGAAATAAGAACCCCTACCTCAAGATTGTGCAAAAGCCCCAATTTTCACCTCAAACCCTAGGATTAGAGATCCTCCAAATGGTGGCCAAATGAAAATTGGCTCTGATCAACTCGTAGGCCTCGTTGTGGGCTTCGATTTACCGCAAACGGCTATTAAAAACACTAAGTATTGAGAGAGAGATCTAGGATTGAAGTTGGAAGCAAAAAGAAAAAGAAAAACTGAAGCTAAGGAAGAGAGAGAGAAAACCAGCGGGGAGAGTGAGACTAGAGACCAAATGTGGTCTCAAAGCCTTTAAGGTGGTGGTGGTGGGTCCCACCAATTTTCTTTTTATTTTATTTTTTTCTCTTGTCTTCATTTCACAGCACACACAACATATATACACATGTGATAATTTACATCCACAGAAAATACATCAGTAAAATGCATGAAATGCTAATGGACCCGACTAAAATCCCCATACACGATACTACTAGTAACGGGTCCCACATGGGTCCGTCCGGTCCGAAAACTGAAAAATGCACAAATGATCACCCTTACATTTCAAAGAGTCCTAGACTCAATGAAATGTCCTAAACAACTCTAGGACATAACCGGTACACCCCGTAGTGTCCGGTTCACAAAATGACAAAAGATGAAAATGCCTTTGCGGCGGCAAAGTTCCCAAAAAAAAAAAGAAAAATGTCGAAAATTGGAAACATCACAGTTATAGCCTTCTCCATTTTCTGCAAACCAGTTAACTGCTCCAGTTCTCTTCCCATATCACCCTGAATAGGTTGTTCTACTTCAGCCTCAATAGGAACATAAAAGGCTTCTTCCTCGATTCTATGATAACCACTTCATCCTTCCATTACTTTTTATCTCCAATGAATCTCAAATATAACAACATATATATATATTGATACATAATTACCACATATATTTGTTAGTATAAAATTAAGTCAAATAAATGACTCTACTACACACTTCCTACTGCCACTGCCAGTCTAGACTCTTACTACCTCTAGAACCTAGAAAACCTAGGCTCTGATACCAAAAGTTGACATACCCCAACCCAATTTACACTATTAAATAATTTAAACAATTGGAATGTATCTAACCATCTGCATTAACCTCATACATACATAACGTCATCGTATATCAGAGTGCCTGCTTAAAAGGTCACAATAAAAAATAAACTATAAATCCACCTTGCAAGTTCTAAGAAAACTAAACCGTTAATTACAAATCACAGTATTAAATTCTACTACAATATTTACATTTTATACAAAAGACATTCCATTGTTATTTTTCCTAGTCACACTCAAGATTTTAGACCTGGCAGTAGCAACCCAACCTGATACCTGAAAAAAATATAAATATAGAAGGAATGAGCTTAAAGCCCAGTGAATGCAACACTACCACATCAGAGTAATATAAATAAATATTATCTGATAACTTCAATTAAACTTCATTAACATATTACAGGCATTAAAATATAGTACTCTCCATCTAGGCCAGGTATGGACTTTATATAATATAGTACTCTCCTTCTAGACCAGAGTATGGACCATATTTAAATATAGGACTCTCCTTCTTGGCCAGAGTATGGACCTTATTTAATGTAGTACTCTCCTTCCAGGCCAGAGTATGGACCTTATTTAATGTAGTACTCTCCTTCCAGGCCAGAGTATGGACCTTATATAATATATTACTCTCCTTCCAAGTCAGAGTATGAACCTTATATAATATAAACAAGTTATATATATATTCATCTTTAATTCACATAAACAGCTTTAATACGTCCATTAAACATATCAAAGTATAAACTTCCAGTGAGTACACTCACCTTGGCTACTTCCCAAATTATTTACTTATCCCTTCATAATGTCGAAGCTTCCGTCTCCTTCTTTTTGCCTGAATAAAATTGAAATCACATCATACCCATTTCCAAAGAGAATTGAATCACAATTATCACTTCTATAATAAATCTCAACCTTTCTATAAAATTATAATTAAAATTGTAATCACCACTCTTTATACGCAATCTCGACTTCACAATTCCATCTAACTAGCCATTAATAACTTCGTACTTTGAATCAAGTGATATATGTAAAGAACTATATGCAGTTTATATAATCCCTACAAATAGATTATTCATGAAAATTTTAAATAATTAAACATCCACTATATAAATAAAAATATAAATTCTTTTACCTGTACTTGAATTCAATAGAGATTGCAGAGAGAACTCATTTTCCATTTCCTAATCTTAGTATTATTTTTTCCCCTGATCGTCCCTATTTACCTTGCTGCTCTTAGTTTGTTCTTTTGTGTTTTTCAAAACAATACCTCAAAGTGAGCCTTTCACTTATACCTATGAATTCTATAAGGCGGTTCCAAAGCTTCCAGTAAAAAAATTTAAAATTAAGAACTATACACCATATATTATTTTAACACCAGCACATATCTATTACACCCCAACTTACTTTCAACTGCACACACTACACCAACACGTGTTCCATGACTCATCAGATATGTATATACATATATCTTTTATTTTTTAAAAAAAACTTTGAAAGACAAAAAGGCTCCACCACACTTCATTCTTATCAAACATATATATATATATATATATATATATATATATATATATATATATATATATATATATATGCAAATACAACTTTAACACTAACACATCACCAGCCTACATTCCACAACAACATTACATCACCACGTGTCCATTAGTCATTATAATTTCCTTCCACTGGTTTCCTTACTAGGTGATTCTACTAGTTTCCAAAATAAACTTTACACTCACATATCTATATGCATAAGTAAGTGTACAGTGTACGTGGGTGAACTAGTAGCTTGACCATATTCTATATTTAGTGAGATAAAATATAAAGCTTCATGGTAATCACACACAGCCAAAACTTTTAGTGAGCTTTTATTGACAACACATCCATAAATAATATCACAATTATGTATAACCCAATCTAGGTGTCATATAAAATATCCACATATAATTCATGTTTAGTAAAAAATTTAATTATGCCAATGAAAATGATTATGTATTGGGGCCT